CTGGAGCAGAGGTTGTTAAAGTAAATTTGAACAATTGCTGTTCTTGGCAGACCATTATAGAGAAGGAAGACGAAAACTTAGACAATACTCTAATACCAGAAGTAAGTTCATTTAGTAAATATTTAATTTAGATATGTCATAACTTAAGTAATTAATTACATAACATGATTATTAACAGAATCTTGTTGCCATGCTACTGCTCCATTGGTGTTAAAATATTCTTGGTATACTAAACGAATTTGTTGTGATGTTGTAGCGGTTCGATTTCCTCCTTGCCGTACCACATTCTGTAAATGACACGTTACATCTTCAATATTGGAAATGTATTTGGGTGATACGGTAATTAAATAATTATGTAAAATGCAACACACTTTCGTAATCATTTCTACTTTTTCGACATTTACAAGTACATTCATTGTATGTAACAAAATCCGAAATTTGTTATTTAATATACCGAATGCATTTTCGACAACTCTTCGAGATCGGCAAATTCGGTAATTAAATATACGTTGCTCATTGGAAAGACCGTGAAGTTTGTATGGTTTCATGATGTTTTGCTTCAGTGGGGAAGCATCATCTGCCACAAACACATGTGGGATTTCTTTATTTCTTCCTGGCAAAGCTTGAGGAGGTGGAAAGTTCAGCGTATCAGTATTAATTGCATATGCCAAAGGGCTCCTTTGAAATATACCTCCATCACTTATTCTGCCATTTCTGCCTATGTCACTTATTAAAAATTTATAATCTTCATCACTACAGCTAAAAGAACAATACTATCTGTTCCTTTATAATTGTGAAAAAAGGATCGAAATGTGGTATGTTTTCTGTCCATCGCTTCCAAGCAGTTTGGATAATTCCAGTTTTCGTAAAATTTGTCCGATACTGCTTTCCATTCTTCTTGCGTCTGTGGGGCCTCTAATATTAAATTAAATTTCAGATAGATGGCTCAGCTGAGGATGAAGATGGCGCCAGCACATCTGCATCGGGTGAAATACCAATCCACCAATCAAAACGAAAAGGTGCACCTCTACGCAATCCTCCCTCTGGAAAAAGACGAGCAGAGAGTGATGCTGCTCTTCCTGTGTTTGAAGAAATTGGGAATGCAATAAAAAAATTACTGGTGAGCAGGATGATCAATGGGGAATATTTGGGAAATTTGTAGCAGACAAAACAAAGGATATAGCAGATGAAAAAATTGGAAAACAGTGCAAGCGGAAAATAATTATGACTCTTTTAGAGTACCAAGAACAAGATGATTGCAATTAATTGTGTTTAATGTAAATTAAAACTTAATAAATGTTTAGGTATATAATGAATTTGTTTTTGGTTTGTTGTGCCGCCACATATGGCATAAACTTTATTTGCTAATTATATCTGCTGTGATACTAACCCTTAAATATTCTCCTTCTAAGCGTGTAACAATGGCATTCAGCACTTCATTAATAATAAAATTACACTTAGAGTATTATGTGCAATTCTCGTTGCAAAACTTAAACTTCTCAAAGTTTCACCAGTTGGTAAGTATCGAAGAGTGTTAGAGGATTGGCAACACTGCAATGTTGAGTGATGCAAAAACGTGTACTTAACGATTGGCGATTATTAAAATAAGTTCAAGCAGGATCTTATTATTTATTTATTAACAAAAACCAAAGCATGGCGCAGTCGGAGTTGTGAGTAGCCTACAGTAATAGAAAACAAAAATAGCAGCAGGTCAGTGACTGGATTAGTCTAATCCCGGACCCGGACCCAAATGAAATATCGGTTCCGGTTCTGTTTATATTTAAGCGAAAATATTTATAACGGTTCCGGTCCGGTTTCGGTTCTAAAAGGAAATAACGGTTTGGTTCTGCGCATTTTTTTCGGTCCATAACGGTTATTTGCGGTTCTAGTCTTTTAGAAAGTATGGCATTCAAAAAATTCATTATAACAACGTGATTTGTTAATTAATAGGTGTGAAGAAAAAGCCATGAATACCAAAACGTGACGTATCGTATAATTTATAACGACAAGGGGAATAAAGGAGGAAGAGGGAAATGCGTATTTACACTTTATTACTAAAAAACAGAAAATTTTATTTTATAAAACCTCGCCCCTCCTTTTTTATTTAGTGGCTAAATTAGCGCCACCGCCACTCGTAATGCCTTCAATTTCGACACCTTATTAAAAATGTATAATCCACCGATGGCAATCATAGACTAATATTTTATCAATTTTCAGGACGTGGTTGCCGGCGCGTCCTTCAACTTTCAATAACCTGTTAAGAACCGTAAAAAACCGAAAAGAACCGAAAAAAGTAATATGGGTTCCGGTTCTCAATACGTTTCCATTTCTGAAGGAATAACGGTTTCGGTTCGGTTTTCGATCCAGAAAAAAATAACGGTTTCGGTCCGGTTTTCGGTTCTTTTTCGGTCCGGTCCGGGTCCCTGGAATAAACCCAGGGCCGGCGCTAGCAATTTAGCCGCCCCGTGCAAATTTAACTTTGCCGCCCCCCCCCCCAAACCGCCAACCAATAATTTACAATTCACCTAAAGACTAAAACTATATACTATAAACAATAGATACGATAAATCAACATACCTGTGTTATTTATCGAGTTCGTCAGGATTTACAAACGTTTCGGCGAGTGTTTCGGATTCGCGAATTTCGTTATTATCGCGATTTTTAGAAGATTCTCCGAATTCACGTTCCGTTTCGTAATCGTCTTGTAATCTTTAATATTTATTTAGCGCATCGCTTTGTTTTCGTTTTTCATTTTCGAGAATCGCTTTTCGTTTGCGATACTGAGCACCAGAAAGACGATGTCGTTTTTCGGACATGTTTATGCCGTATACTAAGCGTTGCGAAATCCACTGATTAAGTGATATATAAAAATTAGAAAAATATCAACAATCAACGACGCGACAGTACTTGCTGAAGTAACTATGGACACTAACGAAAATTAAGAAAATTTGTAATCTACACCTAGGTATTTATACGTACTTCTTTGAATAATACAATGGCACCATTGAGTTGTCGCGAAAATTTACAAAATCGTGAGACGTGAACCGTGATAACTGATATGTTATGACTATACATAATTAAAAAAGGAAGTAGGTATAGTAAGCCGTTAAGTGGTAACACTAAATAAAGTAATATAATACAAATATAACAGCTTCTTTGTGTTTGTAATAGGGTCTCATTTCCCTGTGTCATTTATCTGAAATTCCAGGCAGATGTGAAGCGATTGTTGTTTGTGATTATTGGTGGTTATGAAATTTAATAATTATTATGATTTTATTTAAAACAGATTTTGCCGCCCCTTCACATTTTGCCGCCCCGTGCGAGTGCACGGGATGCACGGTCCTTAGCGCCGGCCCTGAATAAACCCAACACAAAGGTTAAAAACAGCAGCAAAATGGTGGATAAGGCAAACAGTTTCCATCAGTTGGCATCCGCAAAACCACCTACTGAAATGAGTTTTGAGGGTAACTTAGCCGATAATTGGGTGTTTTTTAGGCAAAAATTTGCAATATACCTAAAGGCAACAACGCTGGAAAAAGAAGAAGATTCGTCCAAAGCGGCACTTCTACTAAACATGGTTGGTGACCGAGTCATACAAATATACAACAATTTAGTCTTTGAAAAACCAGAAGACAAGGATTCGTATACGAAAATATTTGACAAATTGAACGAATATTTCATACCTACCAAAAATGTTACGTATGAAAGAAACGTCTTTTTTACTAGAGAGATGGGGATCGATGAAACGGTGGATGAGTATGTCAACGCATTGCGACATCTTAGCAGTTCGTGTGAATTTCAAGATTTAACTGACAGTCTAATAAAAGACAGGTTAGTCTTGGGCATTCAAGACAGAAGTGTAAAAGACCGATTGTTTCGAGAGTCAAATGTGGACTTGAAGAAAGCGATTGAAATTTGCAAGGCGTCCGAGCTAGCACGAAAGCAGATACAGCAGTTATCTTCCGCAAAGGTAGATGTAGTCCGAGATGTAGTCAAACAGCACAAGAAGTACGGATCGGGAACAGCAGGGCATAAGCAAACAAACAGAGGGAAAACTCAAGCAAACCCACAACCGAGGGAGGTACCGAAGAAAGACGGATGTTATTGTTGCGGAGGCGACCATCCCCGTGACAAGCTGATGTGTCCCGCTAGATCAGCTGTTTGTAATAAATGTAAGAAGGTAGGTCATTATGCCAGAGTATGTAAATCTATCAATACAATTACGTGTAATACAGTCTCTAACAACATTAAAAAGCTTTAAACGCGCATTAATATCATACCTACTGGAGAAGGAATTTTATTCCCTTGAAGAATATTTTAATTCGTTGTAATGTCTTGTATGTTTTATATGTAACAATGTAAATTTTGACATGTCCTATATTACATTTATGTAATCTATTGGAAATAAATAAACTTCAAGGTTTAAACTTCACGTTGCTGTAAAAAGTGACGAACAAGAATTATTTGTAGGTAATATTAGTAATTACGTAGGTAATAGTTGGTTACAAAAATGTACACTCAATGACAGTCACGATGTAGTATTTAAATTAGATACAGGTGCAGCAGCAAATATTTTACCATTACCTACATGTTTTTAACAAATTAAATGTGCATGGTTTAAAGCCATCGAGGGCTAGACTTACTGGTTATAATAATGATGAAATTGAAGTTAAAGGAATGTGCAAAATAAAAACTGTAGTCAATAATATACACAGCTTTATAGAATATCAAATTGTGAATACAGAAAATTGCCCAATACTATTAGTCCGGGAGCCAGTTGGCAGATTTGCCGACCAATTGGAAATGCAGCCTCCAACTCGCTCTAAAAAAGCAAGAATCAAATTAACAAAGTTGTAATTTGTTACAACAATAGTTTACTGTATCAGTTTTATAAAAAAAATAGTCCGCTGGAGTTTCCGCGGTGGAAAAGTCATCAGCTGACGGCCACAAAATACGGACGCATATCATCTTTCGTGAACCAGCTGATGACTTTCCCACCATGGAAATTGCAGCGGAGTATTTTTTTCTCAAAACTGATGTAGTAAACTATTATTTCACCAAAATTCAGCTTTCTTACTTTAATTTTATCTAACGTTTTTTTTTTACATGTTTATCCAATCAGCTGACGTATAATCCACCGCGGTGCAGTCAGCTGACTATTTTTTTTCATTTATACATAGGCTAATAAACGAGCCTACAAAGATTCATCTTTCTTACTATGATTTTAAGTTTATTTTTATTATACATGCGTGGGTGGCTGCTACGGCTACCCCCACCGCTATCTAGCCAGCTGACGTTTATTTCGTTAATCAGTGCATCTAAATAGACGCCAAAAAAAATTTCCAGCTTTCTTACTATAACGACCCTCAAATGTCAGCTGGCTCCCGGACTATAGGTTTAGATGCTTGTTGTACATTTCAATTGATTGTAAGGGCAAAGGTGAATTCTATTGAAGCCGACCCAAAGTTGCCATACCTGAAAGAAATTATAGATAAGTATAAAAATTGTTTTAAAGGGTTAGGATGCTTGAAAAATTATACTCACCATATAACTGTTGATCCTGGAGTCCAGCCGGTAATACATGCAGCCAGGAAAGTTCCGTTTGCCATACAGGGTGATCTGAAAAGAAAGTTAGATCAGTTGGAAACAGATTGTGTTGTGAGTAAAGTTACACAACCTACAAATTGGGTCAATTCATTAGTTATTGTTTTTAATAATAATAATAATAATAATAATAATAAAGTTTATTGTGTTTAGGTAATCAACAAGAATTACATACACTCGTCATCAAATATATTTCTAAATTGTAACCTATAGCATCAAACTAAAATCGAAATTTATAAATTCATCCGTGGAGTAAAAGGCGTGAGCTAAAAGAACATTTTTAATACAGCGATTAAATTCTCGGTTGGATAGTGTAGTGTAGTTTTAAAAAAGATAAATCACTAAGATTATGCTTAGATCCAACAAATTTAAATACAGCCATTAAAAGAGAACATTTTAAAATTCCCACCATAGATGAAATTTTAAGCAAAGTAAGTGGTGCAAAATTTTTCTTAACGATTGATTGTAGTAGTGGCTTTTGACAGATCAAATTAGATCATGAAAGTTCCCTTTTATGCACTTTTAACACACCTTTTGGACGTTACAAGTTTAATAGGCTACCTTACGGTATATGTTCAGCTCCTGAGGTTTTTACAAAAGTAGTAAGACAAATGTTTGATTCAGTTGAAGGGGTGGACGTGTATGTAGATGGTATAATAATATGGGGTAAAGACATAGAAAAGCATAATCGTAGGTTAGAAACAGTGTTTAAAATTGCAGTAGAAAATGACCTAAAATTTAACTTGGATAAGTGTAAATTTGGTCTAACTGAAATTATTTATATGGGTTATAGGGTAACGAGTGAAGGTATATTACCCGATTTAAATAAATGTGAAGCTATAAAAATATTCAAGTTCCAAATGATAAAAAAGGTATTGAACGTTTATTAGGAATGATACAGTATTTAGCAAAACATATTCCTAGTTGCAGTATAGTCACAGCACCTCTTAGAGAGTTGTTGAAAAAAGATGTGGAATTTCAGTGGAACCCAGAACAGCAAAATGCACTCGAAGAAATTAAAAAAATTTTAGTTAACCCTCCAATGTTATACCATTTTGATATACAGGGTGGTGCCTAGCGCAACGCAGCATAGGGATTTCAATGGTAATTTCTTTATAGTCAATTACTAGCTCCCCTAATTATTGTGTAGCAAAAGTCTAAATAAGCTTTTTTAGAGAAAAAAATACTGCATCTGTTCATACTTTTAGTTATAATTTTCCATTTTTCAAAACCGTAGAAATCGACAAAATAAAAAGGTTCATTTTACAATAAATCAAATATGCCTTGGAATTACCTAAAAAACGGCGATCACGTTTCATTATTTGCCTTTGACGTATATTAAATTTATACTTGTTTATAAATTAGTTAAAGAACTGCAAGTGCAATAACGTTCAAAATGTCCGTCAAAACCATCAGGAAAACGACAATACATTCAACGTTTTGGCTGCAGTAGCGGAAAATCCGAATATAAGTTTAGGAACAAATCTGCTTCAAATCAGTTTTTTTCTTCGATTATGTAGGTACTCTGATTCTCTCTGATAAACAAATAGTATCTGATGCAGATGCAGCATACATTCTCTAAAAAAACATTACCCTAAGATGCCTTTTATTGCGTCGGTTAGTTGAAACAGAATTAAATATGAAGATCGTTCGACGTCAAACAACCATAACTTAGATGCGATGCGCTTGTAGTTTGTTAAAAGATTCCAAAGCATCACTGATTTATAAAAATGTAATTTTTTATTTTATCGATTTCTACGGTTTTGAAAAATGGAAAATTATAACTAAAAGTATGAACAGGTGCAGTATTTTTTTCTCTAAAAAAAAACTTATTTAGACTTTTGCTCTAAAATAATTAGGGGAGCTAGTAATTGACTATAAAGAAATTACCATTGAAATCCTTATGCTGCGTTGCGCTAGGCACCACCCTGTAGAAAAACCATTAACAATTTCATGTGATGCCTCGCAAAATGGGTGCGCAGCTGTTCTACTACAGGGAAGCAAACCAGTGGCGTATATGTCACGAGCCTTTACACCAACACAGATAGGGTATGCTCAAATCGAGAAAGAGATGTTAGCCATACTCCTAGAATATGAAAAATTTCATCAATATATATACGGACGTACAGATGTCACGATAGACACAGATCATAATCCTTTAATCACAATATATAAAAAGCCTTTAACTTTGGCACCAGCTCGCTTACAGAGAATGTTGATTAAATTACAGCAGTACTCGTTTAATCTAAAATATAAAAAAGGAACAGAACTTTTCATAGCTGACACTTTGTCAAGGTCGTTCAGTAGTAATGGAGTCCAAGATGAGCCCGAAAATGAATATGATGCTCAGCTTTGTGTCATTGTAGATAACTTACCAATAACAGAAAGAAAGTTAAATGATTTTAAAATTAAAACTATGGAAGATTCTCTTTTAGTAGATTTGATTAAAATAATTCAGAAAGGTTTTCCAGAGAATAAAAAAGAATTACCAGAACATTTACATAAATTTTGGTCATTTAGGGAAGATTTAAATATTTCCAATAATTTGTTGTTCAAGGGTAATAAACTCTTTGTTCCAAGTAGTTTGAGAGCCGAAATGCTAAACAGAATACATTACGCACATTTAGGTAAAGAAAAGTGTTAGAACTTAGCACGGGAAGTATTATTTTGGCCAGGCATGTCACGCGATATAGATGATATAATAGAATTGTGTGATACATGTACATCTTTACAGAGAAATAATACAAAAGAAACTTTAAAACCTCATGACATACCAGATAACGTTTGCAGCAAGGTTGGTGTTGATATTTTCACATTGTATGAAATAAACTATTTACTAGTAGTAGATTATTTTTCTAAATTTGTTGAACTGAGAAAATTGAATTCACTTAGCGCAGATAGTGTGATAATAATTCTAAAAGAAATCTTGTCCAGACAGGGAATACCTAAAATTGTGTTCTCAGATAATGGTCCTCAGTTCAGCTCTGAACAGTTTGCTAAGTTTAGTAATACGTATGATTTTGCACATCATACGTCAAGTCCCAGATACCCTCAGAGTAATGGCATGGCGGAGCGAACTGTCCAGACTGTTAAAATGATTTTGAAAAAGTGTGTACTAGATAATAAAGATCCTTACCTTGCAATGCTGGAATACCGGAATACTCCTATTTCAAATGAACTTCCTTCACCTTCTAGGATTGAATTCACGTAGACTGCGTGGTATAATACCTGTGACAAATAAAATTTTAGGAAAACAAGTAGTTAGTAATAAGGTAATTAAAAGAACATTCGAAAAACAAAAGGAAAAAGAAAGGGACAGGTATGATAGGAATGCTAGAGATTTGGAAGAGTTGAAAATCAATGATGTAGTTAAAGTTAAGATAGATTTAGAAAGTAAGGATTGGAAAAAAGGTATCACTGTAAATAAAGCCAGCAGGCCAAGATGTTACATTGTAAAATTAGATAGTGGTAGAATCTTAGAGAGAAACAGGAAATTTATAATTAAGATTAGAAAGGTTGAAAATGATTACAAGGATGTGTATCTAGATAGTCATGTTAGCGAATGTGAACCTGTTAGAATTGAGAATAGTATCTTACCTGGTTTGGAGATTACACCACAAAGTAGCGAAGTAACGTCCAGGTCAGGCAGGGTCATTAGAAGACCAAAAAGTTATTCTGAATAATATTATATAATCCTAATGTTCTAATCTTAAGAGAGAGGATGTTAGAGGATTGGCAACACTGCAATGTTGAGTGATGCAAAAACGTGTACTTAACGATTGGCGATTATTAAAATAAGTTCAAGCAGGATCTTATTATTTATTTATTAACAAAAACCAAAGCAAAGAGTAACCATTAATCTGTTAATTATAATAGCCATGTCTACTAAAAACAACATATTTAAAAAAAACCTACCTGTCTTCTGCACTTATACTTTCTCGAAGTCTTGTATTTTGTTTGGCAATGACAGGTCTCATCATATTGAGTAAATTATTAAAAACTATATTATCCATTCGTAGGTAATTTTCCTAGCAATGCAGACCATTAATAGTTCAACTCATTTCTGACCATTGCCAATACACCTCGACCAACACCTTTGTTTCTTTTTAGAAGCCATGACTTTGACCATAACCGTTTTTTCTTGCTAATTTGCCTTTTATAACTATTGTATGTAATTAAGGTTAGCCCCAATAGAGATAACATTGCAACCAATTTTGTATTCATTGTTTTATAAATTTGAAATTATCAAAATACAAACACAACCTCAAATTTTACTGTAGTTTGAAACACAGAACAAAAACAATTTGAACAAACGGAGGTGTTTAGTGTGACCACCTAGTTTGAAACTTTCATCAAATTACAAAATTGTGACGTCAATAGTCCAGTTTGATCAAACTAGTTTATCAAACTGTTTGATAATGTGACATGGGCTTTACGGAACTCCGCCGTTTCATCTTCAGCACGCACGCACCTGTATATATTGCAAATAAATCTATCTACTCTACTAGACAGCATTTTATTTAGCGTCGTCCGATAAACACGTGTCTTACGCACTCTATCCCATCCGACATGCGTTTACAACATAAACTTTGAAATGACGAAGTTTATATAATAAAACAACTACCTATGTGTTTGAGGAACTTGCAATATCGTTAAAGGCTTTAACGTAGGGTTAGGGTTAGTTATGAGTTATATTGAGGCAAATTTTCATTAGAAATTTAGGGTCAAACTACACCTACGTTAAGGACCTGTCGGATTAGCAAGTGTACTATCACAGCTCCCCTTAACATTTTTGTTTATCGATTATTAGCCTTCATAATAAAATAATACACATTCTCCCGAAATAACAGTTTTGATATAAATGGAAGCGAGAAAACGAACGAATCTATTGAATAACAGCGATCGGAAACGTGACCACTTAGCTATATTGTGTAAAGACACTCAACTATAGATACATTCAAAGGAAATGAACAATGCAAATAAAAAAGTTTTCGATCTCTTGAATAAAACATAAAAATGGAGTGCTTACATTTCTAAATTGAAAGTCGACAACACAACAAATGTAATTCTTCCCTTTACCTCACGATCAGATTAATCAAATAAGGCAATGATTCCGGGATAAAGCAATTTGGTTCAGATAGGATTTGGTTAGTTCCATTACTTTGTTGTTTCTTTACTCGAAACTTATATTGCTACAAATTGGTTTTGCAATACCAAACGTGTTCGTTAGTTTCACCTACTTCTAACTCGAGTTGTTAAAGCACAATTCCTCTGTATAAGATAAATGGAAATATTAGTTTACCTCAACCGATTTTATATTGACTGATGGAATGCAAGATAGTTTATAAATAACTGTAATGGCGTTGATAGTTTTAAATGAATTATGACAATTATGTTAATTACTAGGCGTGGAATGAATAATTAAAAAACGATAGCTTTTCTGAAATCGTATCCGGTGTATATGCGGTAAGTTGCGTGTGAAAATTGTGCTCAATTATCTGCAAGAGAGATCAATTTCTGTTTTAATTATAGTTGCAAGCATTTAACTCTAATATGCGAGCGATTTTAGAATATGACCGTGACAATCTTGAATGTTGACTCAAAAATAAAATAAAATATATAAACTTTTACCAATGAGCCAACGGGAGGAAAACGCACTGCTTCACTAAACTGCACACAATTTTCCAACGTGTACAGTTTAGTGAAGTAGTCAGTGTTGATCCTGTTGGCTCATTGTAAGAGTTTTTATATATTTCATTTTTGATTGTTATTTTTAAGTTTCGTATAAAAGAACCAAGCGCAAAAATAAAATACCAACGGAATCAGAAGTAAGTATAAAATAAACAAAGTGGTATTTGCTTGGACTTCCTTTTTTGGATACCTTTCCAACAGAAAGAAACACTGTAGATAGTGTTAACGCCTCTAATGATAGTGACAACGAAAGATCAATTGCTGATAACAATTCCTATAGAGGAACAAATAATAAAGATAAAACTAGTACAGAAACTAGCGCAGGAACTAACGAAACGGAGATATAGAAGGGTCCGTTAACTTGGCCCCCCCACTGAGAGATTTGATAGTCGTATTATTTTGAAATGAATGCGCTCGTTATGCGCTCATATGCGCCACCGATAATAATTCTTGCACCATTATCGTTTTTTAGAAATTCGAAAAAACATTGTGGGGGGGCCAAGTGAACGTAGCCCCCCCAGTACGCATTTTGTCCCCTGTAACTAGGTCACCTGATACATTTGGTTATGCGCTCAATTGCGCCACTTGAATTAAAGCTAGCGCCATTACGGTTAAGCCGTGACAAATTTTCAAAAAGTGGGGGGCCAACTTAACGGTTTTAAAAGTTACTTTTTTTTAACATCTTTTCATACGAAATTGTACTCTCAGGTATGCGCTGAAATGCGCCGTAAAAAGATATCTTTGCGCCATTATTGTTTTTTGGATATCCTTAAATATATTTGGGGGGGGGGCCAAGTGAACGGAATCCCCCATAACGCATTTTGCTACCGGTATTTGTGCCACTTGATACATCTGGTTATGAGCTCAATTGCGCCACTTGAATTAAAGCTAGCGCCATTACGGTTAAGCCATAAAAATTTTTAAAAAGTGGGGGGGGGGCTAACTTAACGTTTTCAAAAGTTACGTTTTTTAACATGTTTTTTCTACTACATCGTACCTTTCATCATGCGCTAAAATGCGCCGTAAACAAAAATCTTGGCGCCATTATATTGTTTCAGAAACACTATACAGGGTGTTTTTTTGGGAGCTTTAGTTAAACGATTCTGGGAAAGTAAAATAGGTAGGTTTTTAAAAATTTGTATTTACGAGTTATTCCGAAGGCCGAATCGATGTAAAATATTTTCAAAATGGACGCACTTCCGGAAATAACTTTTGAAAACGCTAGGTTAGACCCTCCACTTTTTAAAAATTTTTTATGGCTTAACCGTAATGGCGCTAGCTTTAATTCAAGTGGCGCAATTGAGCGCATAACCAAATGTATCAGGTGACCTAGTTACAAGAGGTACTGGGGGGGGGGCTACGTTCACTTGGCCCCCCCAAATGTTTTTTCGGATTTCTAAAAAACGATAATGGCGCAAGAGTTATTATCGGTGGCGCATATGAGCGCATAACGAGCGCATTCATTTAAAAATAATACGACTATCATATCTCTCAGTGGGGGGGGCCAAGTTAACGGACCCGATATAGAACCTCGCACTTCATTTACCGTTTGTGAAAGATCATGAAGCCTACGTTTGGTCCCCTTAGCATTCGACGAGGTTAGACCTGCGACTTCGCCTGACTGACCTATTGATCTTTGCTTGTGGAGTGTTTATCGTGAGGACCGTTGTCGCGGGGATTTTTTCTGAGACATTTGCATTAAGGGTTGTTGATGTACTGATTGTTGCGAGGATCGTTGTTGAGGGCAATGTTGTTCATCTATAGCTGGTTCCTCATCCCCGACTGGTTCGTATTCTAAATCTGCATTAGATTGCGAAACCTGTCCCAGATAGCACAGAAGTCCATTGGACGTGCATTCTTTGTACAGACGTACATGGACGTTTAAATGAAGTACAATGGACGTTTTTTTTGTAAAACGTCCTATGGATGTTTAAAAAACATGTCACATGTACGTACCCGATAGGTGTAATTGGAGAGTCCCAAATTTTTGTTTGTACTATTAGGTACTTAAGGTTAGTTTCATAAGCAATTCGAAAATTGAACAGTATTAATCGATTAATTAATTACTTAATATGGAAAAATTGTAATAATTCTATCCATTTTTCTATCAACCACCGTAACATTAGGTACTTAAATTTTCGAAAACACCATAAATGATTTGTAGCTATTCTATTTTATTCGTTTTAAATAATTTGAACACGCGAACATCGCGCGTTTCATTTAAATCATCTGCCTTGCGCAGATGCGACCACTTAAGACTCACCCGAACACGTGACTGGTTCGCGGTTTGTGCTTGGTTAGGTTATGTTGCATTATTTTATTGTTGATGCAAGATTCTTTATAGAACTATTTTGGTTAAATTATTTACGTTGCTTTGTATTTTATTACCCCCGTGGAATAGCAAAATTACGAATGCGTTATTAAGAGCGATTGCGGTACATTATTGCATCTTCTTTCCTCATTTTGGCTTTTGAGGTTATAGTTTAAGCGACCTTTGCGCGTAGAGAAATAAAATTCCCCCGGGACGCTATTCTTCAAAAGGAAAAAGGTGCCCGCGTAGAAGTTTTCATTAAAGGTAAATTACTCGTCATTAAAACTATTGCTCAGAAACTATGCAAAACCTTTGGCACAAATTGTGAAACGACAACTAGAAATTGGTAGCTCTCGTCTAAGAAAAATTGTAAACCATGTAATCTTCAGCCATCCATACATTTGTAGTAACCAACTTGGGCTCCATTCCATAACAAAATGGAGAGATGCAATTTAAAAATCGGAGAAACATCATCCTAATTGGCAGAAATATCTATACACAAATTTATGTCAAAATGTGTTTCGTATGTTGAACTTATCTATTGAAATTATTAATGACATTGTAGATTCTTTTAATAAAGCTACAGTTAAAGCCACCAAAGCAAGGTACTACTCGGATTTGGGGTCAAGTTCGGAGACTGAAATAAGGACAAAAAGAATCATTAGGAGAGTTGTTTCTTCTTTGTTTGAAGAAGATGTCGAGGAGGAATCAGAAACCAACATACCAGATCCTCTTCAATTGTCTAAAGCAGACAGTGGCGGATTTATACTTTTGTCGCCCAGGGGCTTTGGGAAACTTGCCGCCCCTAGATCATTCTTACCACAAAAATAGCCCACAACTTCATAAATCCTATGGCTAAAAAATAAAATCGCAATCTAAGGGAGTTTATTGGTTCGTGGACTATTCGACTACAGAACAAAATGCTTCTAAGTAATAAGTATTTTTATTTGATTATTCAACAATTTATTGGATTAATCAAAACAATTTTCTCCGTGAACTTTCTTCAGAAAATGAACGTATCACATCATCGAAATCTAATTTTCTGGTTATTTCCGATTCGATCGTTAGGATTGCCAGGTAATTTGCCGCCCTGGGCCCGTGCCCTTAGTGCCCCCCTCTAAATCCGCCTCTGAAAGCAGAGGTGGCCAAACCGTCGATCGCCTCATTTAACGCAATACGCGTTGATTTCGCGTAATTCATTCAGCTCAGCTTTCAGTACTAACATAGTCTTGGTGCGGTAGTGTAAATTTTCTGTCTCATATTTTTAATTTGTTTGTTTGTTAGTGCGTGCTCAAGCCAAACTTAAAATGAGTGCTTCCAAGCGACCAAAAACCTACCATTTTCATGACGAGTGGGAAGAAGAGTTTTTTTACAATGTTCAAGGATAAATGTGTGTGCTTAATATGCCGAGCTAGTGTTGCGGTGACAAAAAAAGGTAACCTGGAAAGACATTTTTTGAGTCTACATAAAAAATATTCGAATGACTTTCCACCAAAATCAGAATTACGACGGATTAAAGGACGAGAGATGAAAATTCAATTAGTGGCGCAACAACGGATGTTCACGAAGCCGCTTGAACAGTCACAAGCGGTAACTGAGGCATAATTTCGCATCGCTAGAATTTTAGTAATGCATAAGAAGCCATTTCAAGATGGGGAAGTTTTTAAAGAAGCGTTTCGGGAAGCCGGCGCCGTTTTGTTTGATAAATTTAAAAATAAAAATGAGATTATGCAAGCCATTAAAGATCTCCCACTCTCTCGCCAGTCAGTAACTCGTCGTGTTGAAGTAATGGGCGGCGATTTAGTACAGAAACTGCAAAAAGATCTCGACAGCTGCTCATATTTTTCCCTGCAATTCGATGAATCAACGGACATGACTGATACAGCGCAATTAATGGTATTTATAAGAATGGTATTTCCTGATATGACATGGAAGGAGTTCTTAACAATGATCCCATTGAAAGGTAGCTTTGTTGAATTTGCAAAAAAAACAAAACTTCCTCTCTGGAAACTGGTATGCATAACAACGGATGGAGCACCGGCCATGGTTGGTAAAAATGTGGGGTTCCTCGCACTTTGCCGCAAAAATGAAGGTTTTCCTGATTTCGCGTCTTTTCATTGTGTAATTCACCAGAATGCATTGTGTGCTAAAATAATAAACATGAAAGTATGGATATTGCAGTGAAGATAGTTAACTTGGTCCGCGCGCGTAGCTTACAAAGACGACTCTGTCGTATTCAACTTGAAGAAAATGACGCGGAACATGCGGATCTTCTCTTGTACACAGACATAAGGTGGCTCAGTCGAGGGAAATTCCTGGAAAGGTTTAATAATTTGCTACCTGAAATAATTTTATTCCTGAATGAATCTGGAGTAAGTTACCCTCAACTGCAGGACGCATCATGGTTAGGAAAGTTGGCTTTTTTAACAGATTTAACAGACCATTGTAATAGGTTCAACCTTGAACTTCAAGGAAAAGGTAAAACGATTATGGAATTTCCACAAATGCATTTAAGTCAAAACTGTTGTTGCTGAAATCACAACTTGAAAGAGAAAATTTTAAAAATTTTCCCAATTTAGCAACAGCGTTGGAAAAGCATAAAAAAATTCGTCACGATTTTGCTACTTATTCTAGTGAAATAGAAAACATTTCGCAAGAAATGGAGAGGCGATTCCAAGACGTGAAACAACTTGACGAAGCATTAGTTTTCATGCCTCCCATTTTCTCAAAATAACGTAGAAGGCATTTCCGAAAAAATTGCTTCTATTATTAATAGCGACGCCTCGATTGTTGAAGAAGAAGTCCTAAAATTGCAATCAGACATTCCCATGAAAGCGAGAGCTGCTGAAGATAACTTCTGGGCCTTACTTCATGAAGAGAACTATCCACGTCTGAGAACTCTGGCACTTCATTTGACTGCGTTTTTTGGTTCAACTTACCCTGCGAAGCTGCTTTTTCACAAATGAAATATATTAAATCGAAATACCGTACCTGTTTGATCGATCAACATCTACAATCCTGCATTCGTTTGAGTGTCAGTAATTA